CAGTGGTCAACTATGGTATGGCGAAAATATTCAAAAAATAAAAAGTATAAAAAAAAACCAACTTAGCCTTTGTAATGTTCTCCCAAATCAGCGAACTTGAAGTTAAAAAAGTATTAGAAAATATTTTTTGTTTCTTCTGTCTCCAAAAATATTTTTTTTGACACTAGATGGCGTTGTAAACAAATTTTTTTTTTCTTGCATGGATCATAGGTCACCAAATCATAAATCATAGGTCACCAAATAAAAAAAAGAATACATTGATGATTACATGTAATCCCTTAACTTTAAATTATCTCAATTATAATATATATTTTTGGTTTTGAACAAACTTATAATGGAATTTTGAAAAGTACAATATTTTCATCATAATTTCAGTAGTTATTTGCATTTTTAAAAAGTTGTTGAAAAGTGTTGAAAATTATAAAATGTTCTTTAAAAAGGTAATCTTTACTTTTTCAGACAATGAAAAATTTGTGTCCGCATATTTCTGCAAAATAAAAATTTATAAAAGGTTGGAAACACATTGGGAGAACTCAGGCAAAAAAGCAGAAGTTTTATGGTCAATGTAGAAAAAGTATATTAGAAAAATTCTACCTACCTTTACCTTTTATACTTTTTAGATATTTCTATGATTCCTTATTTATTCCAACTAAATTATCAACATTCAAGTTCAACAACATAAATTACTCTTGCATACAGTTTTTAAAAACTTTATAAATTTATAGGTCCTAAAAATCAACTTTCCCATTGAACCATTTGTTCCTTTAAATTAAGATATTCCTGGAAGATGCCCTCTTACTTGAACAGCTGAAGGACAGTGCCTCTGTAAAGGAATCTCTGAACTTTTGCTTTTACTTTAAATTTGGCCTAGATGGAGTTGGTTCATTTGCTACGTTCCATCAAAAGGATGAAAGTGGGAAAGTTCCTGATGGCAAAACATGCCTAATCTCACAAATGGTTCCACTTCAAGCAAGAGATGAAAGCAATAAAGATATGATTTTTTACAACAACAAAGATGCTAACAGTGGCAGTTCTTGTCGTCCTATCAAAATAGCGATTGAACCTGAGTCTAAAGAAAATCTAGCTTGTTAAATAGCTAGACTCCAAGAAAAGATTCTCAACCTTCAAGATCTTATTCTGGTGAACTCTCCAAAGGTAAACCCCTGTAGTATTTTTCTCACCATTATAAGACCTGTAAAAAAATGGTCTTACAAGGAACTTCAGGGATAATTGTTGTATCTATTTATTTTACAGGTGGTTGTGAAATACAAAGGTATCTTTTCCATGATTGCTGGGAAGGTCCTAAACCAACTGACTTCCTGCCTATCAACTATTCATTGCCCTTTATGCCATCAATCATTAAGACAAATGTCAAATCCATCTGGAATTTTTTTTGTCAAAGATGGAGCATTGAAACATGGAGCAAGTATTTTGCATTTTGGAATTCGCTCCTTCGAGGCCATTCTGCATCTTGGTTATAAGCAAGATTTGAAGAAACCTCATAGTGGAGCTGACACAACAACAACAGGAAATATTGTAAGATTAGCATTTCAAAACCCAGGTATCTTAAGACCATGAAAATTAGAAAAATGTACTTTTTATAAATTTTTTTCTGCATGCCAAACATTTGAGGCAACTTTTTTCTATTTTATTCCTGTACAATCATGCAATCAAAAAGAAATTAGTTCATGATTTTACCCATGATTTTTTAAAATTAATTACTTCTTTTCAGTGGTCACAGCTCAAATTTGTGGTATTCCTGAACCTCTAGTCCGAAACTTGGTAATTATTTGGAGCTCACTGGCTTGTGGATTCGTCTTGGATGCTGAAGTATTTGATAGACTCTGTGATGAAACTAAGGCAATCTACTTTGATCATTGCAATTGGTTACCAATCAATCCAACTCTTCATAAAATTCTCTATCATGGAAGGCTTCGGTTGAAAGCTGTCCACTACCTGAGCCAGGAAAAACCCGCCATTCTTTCATGCGCTTGACCAGATCTGACCATGCCAGGAAGTTTTAATGAACTGATGGTTTAAAAGACTTGCTTTTTCGTTTGACTGATTCTAGTGACCCTGTGATCAGAAGTCTGTCAATAAAACACAAAAAACAACAGAGTTATTTACAACCTATATCCAATGAAATCAGGAAGTTGCTTTTAAATCCTATCTTGCAAGTAGTTGGGGATTCTGAATATGATTCTAAAAATAACCTTTGAGTCTTACTGAATATAGTTTTTGAAGAAATTTGTGAATGACATTCAGTTTTTAGTGTAGTTATTCAACTTTATTATTTAAAAGTACTTTCAAGTTGACTTAACTAGAGTAAACATATGCCTTTGATGAAATTTTTAATATTTTTTGTCATATTACTGCTATTTTTTTATTTTTACTTTGTGTTAAAATAAATTTTTTTTCTAATTTTAACTATTTTTAACCAAAATGACTGGAAAAGTCTCTAGAAATAATTTTTTCTTTATTCTATAGCTCAGTTGACCACTGTGCTCTGGTTTCAGCTTCTGGTTTCCATTACTTGAATAAGATTTTTTACCTAAACTAGAGCTACCGACTAAATTTCCATGTTCTCACTCAGCAAGATGGAACAGAAAGCAATTTATATTTTACCGGGCTACTTTTTAATCCCCGAAGAAAGCCAATCATTGAAAGAAATAGCTAAGTTTATTAGCTTTTCTATGGTTTAAAATGATGAAGAAACCTAATTGGGTGTATCTGAAAGAGGCCACATCAGTCTGCATTACAGTCCAAGAAGCTCTGACCAGACATTCTTGGTGTTGAAGTCACATTTAAGTCTGACGACAAAACTTTTCTTAACTGAAATGTTTATTAAAATGTCTAATCAACAATAACTTTTTAAACTTTGTTTTATTATATTATAGTTTGTATGGCTAAAAAAAAAAAAAAAATTAGGATTTTTGTATTATTTCTATAAAGTAACTTTGACTTTTAATAAGTTAATTTTTAAAAATTTAACTAATTTTTGTTAAATTGTTCTTGTTTTATAAAAGGTTTCACATTATATTAAAAAAAAATTATTATAGCATCACCCTACTTCACACCCCTGCTTATTTAAAAATTTAATTAATTAGTTAAATTTGATAAAAATTTAACTAATTTTTGTTAAATTGTTCTTGTTTTATAAAAGGTTTCACATTATATTAAAAAAAAATTATTATAGCATCACCCTACTTCACACCCCTGCTTATTTATAAATAAAAAAGCTATATAAAAGTTCTAGATTCATAAGTAGTCTTTTTTTTTTTTTGAATTAATTTCGCGACGTTAGAATTATCTTGTTCTATCTCCACTTTTTAAAAATATTGAGTTTTTAAAATTTTTGAATAGCTTTGGACTATGTTTTTCTATTTTATTTATATTGAAAACATGTGAAACTTTTAATATGGTGTTGCATGTCATATTGGATTGTTCTATCTTCTAAATAAGCAAGTTTAAAAATGTTATCTTATATTAAATCTCCGATCAACCAATTAAATATTAACAATTACATAGCTGTACGGAATAATTTTGTTTTTGTTATTTTCAAAATGGCAACTAAAAATATTGACCAAGAAATGGAACATGCTTTAAATCAAAGACAGATCTATCATCCAAAATAGGATGAAATGCAGTTTTAGCTGCAAATAAAAAGAAACTTAGAATTAAAAAAGCTACTTATACATGTCATACTTAAATTTGCTCTACACTGGCATATTGCTAATTAGCCAGATCATCAAAAGTGTTGCTAAATAGTTTCAGGATATTTTTTGTGTGCTTTATGTGAACCATAACATTTGTTTAATTTTAAATTTGGTAGTAGTTTAATTTAATAATATATTCTAGGTTTATCTTACTTAATTTTTTGAACAATTTCCTAAGTGTGTTTGTTTAAGAATATCTTATAATAAAACAGAAGAAGTTTTTCTTATTTTAGTTGTTATTTCTTTTTTGTGGTGTATGGGTAGTTTATATGGGTATGTTACTTTTTTGAGATTTCAATGTCTGAAAATGTTTAAACGATAGGGAGCCTTCATTTTTTTTATTTTAAAAGTCTTACAAATAACGAATAACTTTTACTCTTTAACTGTCCCATCCATTTGCAAAATGTAAAAATTTTGCTAGTCTAGAGTTTCGTTACTTTGATTGTCGAAGCTTATTAGAATTTTTAATTTTGTTTTTACGCTTTCTTATACCAATGAAATTTTAAGAAATTTATAAAAAACTGTTAACTATAAATTGTTTATCCACAACTAGCGTTTGTTTCTTAAGTGTCCTTATATGCCCCGCTCTACCCTACCAATAATTTTGAAATTGATGGTATTCCAGGTATATTCAGACTCGCATCCTTGTTTTTTATATTTTTAAAACATAAAATCGTTAATTGGTTACCACGCATATGAGGATAACAAAACACTTGCATAAAGGAAAAAAAAACCCACAAATAATGGATTTCAAACTTTAACATAAAAATGTAACTTTAAATAAAAATGTTTTTATTTAAATGATATCAATATTAAAGTAACTTGAAAACTTATTTTAAGAAATAAATTTAAAAAAGTTACAATATTAAAAAACCTAATAACTCCAATATTTATAATTTTATTTAAATTTTCAAACCATAAATAACTTTCTTATAAAACCAAAATTATGAAAAAATAAGAATTATAATTATTTTAAAAATCGACGTGGGAGTATATAGCAGTATATGCAGTAAGTTAAGTTATATATTATAGAATATATGCAGTAAGTTAAGTTATTAACAAATAGATAGATATCAATTAATCTCAATATAAAGGAGATAAAGAGAAAAAAGTTTTAAATACTCCCTTACACTAAAAATTATTTAATATGTTTTAGTAAAATACCATTACTAAAAATACTTTAGAATTCCTAAAAAATATTAACATATTCTGAGATACCAAATAAACGGGGGAGAAGGATATGAGAGGAGGAGCAAGCCTTATGAAAAATCGGACTACTTTCAATTACTTTGAAAACAAACAAACAAAAAAAACAATATACACATTGATTGATCCCAAAACGATTTTAGAAAATGAGGGGAAAAAACTACCAAGTTAATAAACAGAAATTGATAAAAAAAAACAAAAAAAAAACGTAGAGTTGGGGAAAAATTCAAAATTAATAAACGGAGACGGTTATTTTGCACCTCAGAAAAGCTCTCAGTGAATTAAATTTTTTTTTTTTGCAAAAATACCCCTACTGTATTAAACCAATTGTTATTCTTCTTGTTTCATCTCTTGACTGAATTGATACCTTAACAGATATTACCACATTGTTGGTCTAGTAAACAAATAAACTTTATAACTTTCGAATCGTCAGATTGCTTTGCCATCTCAGCTAAACTGATTAGTTTTTTCAAACTAACATTAAAACTTTTTTGTTTCATTGAACTTTCAATTTCTCGTAGCTCATCATTATTAAAAACATTGAGTTCTCTAAGTATGTTTGTCATATATATAACATCCCTTATTGCTGGAACATAGATAGTGGCATTGAAGCAGTCAAGTACTTGCAAACTTCGAAGAACATCTGAACTATTGCAAGTTGCTATAATCAATAGCTTGTGACCTTTTCGTGCCTTTTTTTTTAAAAGCACAATTAACGTTTGCAGCACTACATTGGAAAACCTCGGACCAATTGGAACATATTCTAATAAACGTTCAATGTCATCAACTATAATGCAACTTAATTCAGACTTGTATGCATCATCGAAGATTTTTTTAATTGCTTGACACTTGGAACTTTCAGAATAACCAATCATATTTTCGGGAGAAACAACTTTTACAAAAGGAAAGTTTGACAATTTATATGCCAAGTGAGCTGCAAGTGCAGTTTTACCACTTCCTGCAGGACCCTGCAATAACAAACTGACCGGTGAAACTAAACTACCTGATTGAGCTTGTTTAATTAGTAACTCACCATCTTCAATAATACTGGAAATTGGATTGCCATATATAAAAATACCAATGTCAAGGTAATGATCAGCATCGTCAGTTCCACTACCAAACGCTGGTTTAATATCGCTTGCTGCAACATCAAAATCTGTTTTGGTAACCAATAAACTTTCTACGGCATTTGGGTTAATTTCAACTTTACCTTGACCTTGACTGACAAGTTTATTCATAGCATTAGTAGTAGCAGCACGCACCAAACCTTCTATTTCTGCACCACTGTAGTTCTTTATTTGCACAGATATTTGCTTAAGATCAACGTCTGAGTGAAGTTTTTTATGCTCTTGAAGTTTTGATGTGTGTATGTTGAGAATTTGCAATCTACCTTCTTCATTTGGAAGATTTATTTCCATCTGTACTTCTAACCTTCCAGGTCTTAGCAACGCCTCATCAATAAGATCTTTTCTGTTTGTCATTCCAATAATTAAAATATTGTTTAACTGTTCCACACCATCTATCTAAATAAATAATAAAAAACACATTACAAAAAGTAGCAGTATGTATTTTATAAAACAAACATTTATAAATTAACATTAAACATTTTAATAATCATATAACCTTTGATAATAGTTGGTTAACAACAGTATCGGCTACTCCAGTACTGCCTGTAGCAGTTCCTCGTTGTTTACAAATTGCATCTATTTCATCAAAAATGATCATATGGAGTGGACTATTAACTCCATATTTTTTTTGATCAGCTTCAGCATCTTCAAACAGTACTCTTATATTTTTTTCAGACTCACCTACAAATTTATTTAAAATTTCAGGACCATTAACAATTTTTGGTTCGGAAGCATTAAGCATTTTCCCAATTTGACGAGCCATTAATGTTTTTCCAGTACCTTTATAAAATTAAGCAAAAATACTAATATGCATCAATATAAGAAATAACTAAATATAACTAATTATTTTTTTAATAATTAAAGAGGTTGTTTTACAAATAAGTTGATACAAGTTCTTTAAAAAGCATTTTTTAAAGAACTTGTATCAACTTATTTGTAAAACAACCTCTTTTAATACCAAAACACTCTAATAACTGTCTCCATTTTAAATATACCTTCACCCCTGTCTTCAAGTAGTAAGGTACCCTATTTGGGTCTAGGGAAACAGTATTTGGATATTTCTTGAAAATAACTGCCATTATGTTGTAAACAGTTACTATGGTGATATTTTTAAATGCATAAAAATATAATTTACATTATTATTCTAAGTTCACAATAAAATAATAATCTTACATCATTATTTAATGTTTTCAGCACAAAGTTATTCTTACTATTTCGAAATTACTTTAAAAGTAGGATTTTATTTTTATTTATTGTTATATAATATATAATTAGTTATTGAATATAAATTAGATCATTCTATATTCATATTTTTATAATTATTTTATATATCAATTTCATATTCAAAACAAATTACAAAAATGTCTTGATTTAACTTATACATTATTATATAGTTAATAACAAATTTTAAATCATTTATAATTTTATAATTAATATTATAAAATGCATAAGCATCAATTGAGGTCAAAATGGCAGGCTTATATCACTACATGTTTTAGATTTTTTTGTAAGCCTTATAAAAACACTAGTTAAAAACTTTTTTTTTTGAAATTTTTGATTAAAATTTGATTTTTAAAGATTTTTCTTAAACTAATGTTTTTCAGAAATAACATTTCTGAAAAACATTAGTTTACATTTTTAACTACAAATTTCTTTTGTATATATGTGTTATATAGTAATATGAACTTCTCTTACACATATCTGAAAGGTAATTTAATTTAATTATAGAGTAATCAAAAAACTTAATTTAATTATATAGTAATCAAATAACATTTATTAATAATAGAGTAAGTATATAATAACAGTAATAGAAAATTAATATTTTCAGCATTATAAAATCTAACAAAAGCAAAAAAATTATTGTGAGGAAATTTAAAAGGCTATGTTTATAAAACAAAAATCCATCAATTCATTTGGATTAAACCCCTATAACAATGACATGTATTGAGACATAATACATTACAGTTAGTTTACAAATGTTTGTTATTTTTAAGTAATTGACATGTAACATTTTTACATAACAAGATGTACAATGTATCGTGTGAAAACATTTTATAAACAAATAAATAAAACAAATAATCTTTTGATTCAAATACAATATTTATATACTATATATATATATATATATATATATATATATATATATATATATATATATATATATATATATATATATATATATATATATATATATATATATATATATATATATATATATATATATATATATATATATATATATATATATATATATTATAAGTTGTTTCAAAGTAACCAAATATATTTAAAAATTGAAAGAAATCAAAACAATTTTGAAAAACCAAACTTAAACCATTTTGTAAAAACTTGAATGTTCCTGTTACATTAAAGTAAAATAATGGGAGATATTATATAAACATATTTGCTTGTAGTTTTATAAAAACTTGAAAAGCATAAAATATTTTCTATTTTTTTACAAAGTAACCAATTGAGACAAAATTATTGTATCAGCTGCGAGCACTACTCACAGTTAGAATAACTATACGTAACTTAAATGAAATCTAGATGTTACATTTTTATAATACAAAGTAGTATTATCTCTTCTTATAAATTTCCAATCAGGGGCTATTCTAGATCGTTTTCGATAGCATCAACTGTATTTGGGCGCCGCCCAAATTAAAAATTGAGGAGTTTTTCAACGTTTTTACAGCAAATATTGTTTCTTTTGCGAAAAAACGCTGATATTCGACAATATTTCCTCCTAAATTTTTTTCCTAGAATAGCCCCTGCTAATTCATAAAGAATAATTCAAATATTACTAGTCACTAGGCTCGTCTAGTACTACATCTTTAATCGCAATCTGGTAGACAAAAGTTAGCATGCATAATTCAGTAACTTTGGTAACATTGTTTGATTAAAAACCAAAACTTAAGATGAAATGTAATTTAACCAATTAAGATGTAAAGTAAAAAATGTTATAAGGATAATATAACTAAAAAAAACTGTCAAAATCTTTTTATTTTTTATTTTTTGTGATAAAGTATTTAATTGAGACGAAACTTTTGTACATCAAATATAAAATAAAACATGACTAATAGCAATATGACTATAATAAATATTTTTTTGTGCAACCCCATTACCTATTGTTATAAATTTGAGATGTAATGTAACTTTAAAATGTTATAAAGGAAACTTTAATAAGCTTTTTGTACTAAAAAAAAAACTGAAAAATAATTTGTCATTTAGAAAAAAATTAGTGTTAAAATAATAAATAAACTTATTATTTTTAATTTTTGCTCTTTATTGCCTTTAAAAAGTCTATGTAAAAAGTTAAACAAAATAAACTTATTGTCACTAATTCATTGTATTGTTATACTAGGAAAAATGTTGTTCTAAGGAAAAAAACTTAAAAATACCACATTACTCACCTATCTTCCTCTCCCCTTCTACCTTGGCCTCAACAAAAATCCTCCTCGCCATTTGTCTTAAGTTAAATATCATTAATATATTCAAAAAATGTGCCAATCTAATCTAATAATACTAATCTCTTTTGCTCTGCTTAATCACGAGCCAACTCCAGGTACAAAAAAAATTAGAACTAATGTATAAATTTATTATTGACCTCAAAAAAACTTAAAAATTAACTTTTTACTCCTTAAAAATAAGATACTAACTGATTTTGTCATAAAAGCTGTAGCTGAAAAAAAAAAAGTGATGGTTGATATACCTGTTGTAAAAAGACCACAAAAATGCTATCAAGTTAACTTCCCTATTTTGACTGCCAAAATTCACTAAATTATATGCTTTTATTATTCCAAACACATGTTGTCCTGTAATTTTGGTTTTAAACTAAGTCTCATTCTAATCTTTTTTGTGCAGTTGCTATATTAAACTGTGATGGTTTTTTTTTATTTTTTACAAGAACATCTCTATTGAGAACAAATGTCTTTTTATTATTGCAAAAAGATAATGTAAAAAGGTCTTGTCTGATGCTAAGCTCAATTATTCTCAGTTAACTAATTCTTGTACTTCATCTTATATGTTAGGTTCTAAGGTTTTAAGTTTTGGAAAATCTTTAAGAGTGTCATTAACTATATATTTCATCAAAGCAAGTCCAACATTACACCCCTAACAGATTAACCCATTGCTAGACATCCAAATCACTGCCTTTTTTGATGCTAAAGTCAATCCTCAACTTGAATTTTCTACAGCTTGTAGTTCAGACAACATCAAAATTACAAAAGTATTTTTTACAACTCTCTTCAATCCTTGTTAAACTTTTATTAAATGCTAAATAAGTGGTTCCAATATTTAAAAAGAAAACACTTTGATCTCTTTAACTATTCTATGATTACTCTTCTTTCTAGTATTAGTTTCTTCATATAAAATGTTTAAACTATGATTGATTAAACCATGTAAATAAAAAAAAACAACTTGATAATAGGGTACCAATATCACACTCATTAACTTTCCTCAAGTACCCAGACTCAAGGACCTGGCAAAATAGAGTTCCAACACATGCTTCTACTGGTAAATCCAGGAAAAGTTGAAAAAATATGAAGAAAGAGAATGTAAAATAAAGTAGTTTAAAAAAAACTTATACTATCTATAAACTATATTTTTATATCTAATTTAATGTGATATTGGTTTTGTGGTAAAGTGTTTATGTTGCAAGCAAGAGGTACAGAGTTCAAACCCCATTACAACTCTGATAGTATTAAACTAGACATGTTTCTTAGTGCAACCTGGTTGTTTAATTAGATTCTTGTTTTAGAGTCATAGGGTCAAATAAGGGTTATAACAACTGTTGTAAAAATAAACAAAATGCTGCATATCAGTTAGTAATTATAGTGGCTAATATTTGACAGGGGGCGATTTTGATAAAGCCAAACAAGGGCAAAGGCTGCATAAATATTGTTAATCTTTCTAAATCTTTTATCATAAATTAAAAGTCTAATTATTTACTAATGCTAATTACAATAAATGCTAATTTTGTATATTGATTTATTAAAATCTCAAAAGCTATTAAAATCTAACTATTGTTTTAATTTAATATTTTAAATAACTAGTTTAGATTTCAATCAATTTAATTCATTATTTTAATAATTAATTAAATTGAAACTATTTTAAATAATTAAATATCTTTCCAATCATAAATATTAGCAATAAAAAAATCAACAAAGAAAACAAGACAATACCTGGCGGTCCATATAAAAGAATTCCTTTCACATGCTGCAAACCAAGTTGTTCAACTAATTCTGGAGGGTAAACTCTAGATACAAATGCTCTTCTAAATATAACTGAAAATTCCTTATCTAAGCCACCAACACCCATTTTTGAAAAGTCCCAGTCAGGATTTAATATTGATGTGGTTGTCATAGTTACTGCACCTCGATACTTACCTGTAAGATTTATCTCTGAATCATCTGCTTTATCAAAGAACACTAATGAGTTCATCTTGAGCAAACCAAATGTAGAGGCACTATTTTCAATACATTCTATTTTATCAACAACCAATTGTAATAATGGCATTTTATCAGTTAACTTGAATATCAGTTTTTGACCTTTAGTAAAGGGAAGGTCACGAAAACATTCATTGAATTTTTTTGCCATTAAATCAGTGTTGAAAGACTCCATTATTTTGCTTTTTTTATAAAGAAAATCTATTTTAAGATTGATTTTACTAATAACAGCATATTTTGTACACACACAAATGGAAACATCAGCTTTACACTGGAGAGTAATTTGAGTCCATTCTCTTTGAATATAACTTAGTCCAATAAGTTCAGGACTAATTTTATCATGGGAGCATATTTTATATACAAACTTTGTACCATTATTAAAAGAAATTTTAGTAAAAAGTTCATCTCCATATTTTGTTTTAAGATTTTTAAAAAGATCTTCATTTATAACTAGACAATTAGTGAGTGACAATTCATCACTTGGCGATTTAGTTACTGTTAAAATTCTCTTTTCTTTTTCAGTGAAAACTTCCATGACTAGGAGTTGTTATTGTAGTGCATTACTAAATTAAAAAAACATAACTCAGCAACAGTAAAGAAATGGAAACAATAAATCAATATATTTTACACAAAAAAAGTAATGTTTACAGTATAATAAATGTTGTAAAAGTATTTCTGAAAAGTGATAATGCAAATAGTATAAAACTAATTCGAAGCAAAGACCATGTAAAAAAAAAGTAACAATCAAACAACAAAAAACAACCAATATATATATATATATATATATATATATAATATATATATATATATATATATATATATATATATATATATATACACATATTTTGATTTAATATTATCAAATTACTATATAACATAATATTATTATAACAACAATAATAAAATAGTAATGAATAAAATAATAAAAATTAAAACTGTTATAGCAGCTATAGATTACTTCTATTACTACTGTAGTAGTAATAATAGTAGTAGCAGTATTGAGTAAAGATTTAAAAAAATTGAATAGAAAAATATATAAAAATAGGGTAAGAATAGGATACAAGAAAAATAATTATTTGTAATTGATAGTTGTAGAAATACATTTAGTATAGATAGATAGTAATGATTGTTTATAAATAGCTGTCAAGATAATTTTGTTTCATTTTATTTAAAAAGGAACTTGAATTTTCTATATTAATGAAGTGGAAGAAATTGTTCCATATATTAGAGGATTGATGCTTTCCAAAGTTTTTGCCATGTCTTATTGTTAAGTTCAACAAATATATTCTTGTGTGAAGAGGATCTAAGGAGGTAAAAATGTTTGCTAATGATTTCTGAGAAAAAATGCAAGGAAAGCATTTGGGTACAATTCTAAAAATACAATTCAAGTGTTTGATGTCATAAAGTTTTAAAATCTGTGATAATTTATACAACAAAGAAAAATTGTCAAAGTGGTTAATATAAAAATTAATTTATGGCTTTATTCATTTTTATGGCTTTATTCTGAAGAGATAAAAAAAAATTTAAGGATTGATTTTTAGTTTGTACCTAATGTATAACTTAAGAATGTATAACTTAAGTGAGAACCAAAAAGGGTTTATCATGCTCTATAAATGCTTGTCGCAGTTTCTAAGTCGACAAAGTACCTTATTTTAACCAACATCAATAGATTGATTTAACTTCAGTAAATAAGAGTGATGAGATTAAAAGGAAAGATTTTCATTTAACATAATTTCAAGATACCTTACTGATTTTACGAGATTGTGATACCTTACTGATTTTATGGAATTGATGATTTTATGATTTTATTATACTTCTCCATTATTGTAAAAACTTAATTTCTTGGTAATTTTTTTATGGTTTTAAAAACTACTAATTGGATTTTTTTAACATTAGGTGAGTTTTTATGAACTCTCATCTAGTTAAGAATTGATATTTTGAACTTTGTAAACAGAGTCTTCAATTATAAGTATCATTAGAAAAATGGTAAGTTGACGCATTATTTAGGTATGTGTTTAACTCACTACTACATATAAAAAAAAAACAGAAGCCCAAGAAATGATCTTTGGGAGATTTATGAATTGACAGGTCAATGTAAATGTTTTTAAGTCAATAAACACTAAATAACCTCTTTATAGTCAATAAAAGCATAGGTAGTTAAACATTTATTCTGAATCCTTATTGTAATTTATAAATAAAATTAAAAGTATTAAAAAATTTGTTAAGCTTTATGTGCATCATTTTCTCAAATATTTTGCCTATATTACTAATAAAATATTGACTTATTTCATTATTGCCTAATATTATTAGATAATAATGAAATAGGTTCATAACTAAAAAGTTCAAGTTTCAAGCTATCTTTGTGAATTAAGATAACATTAGCAATATTGAAAAAGTCTGGATAGACTCCTTTTATAAATATATATACATTTCTATGAGAAATTAAAAAAAATAATAATACAAAAATTTGTATACAAGCAGACACTTTTGGGGAATTAACAGGTTACAAATTTTTGACAGGTAATTCCTGAAACTATTTTAATATACTTTTGCAATGTGCTTTTTTAAAGACAAAATTAGTTTATTTTTTAGCTTTTAAAAGTTGGAAAATAAATTTCAAAAGTAAAATTATAATAAAGATTTTGTACTAAATATAAGAGGAAAATTAAATATAATCAGAGAGAAATAAGTTAATTTTTTTTTTTTAAATATTTAATATTTATAAGTCAAACATGTTCAGCTTTAATAAAAAAAATCCAGATCTTATATCTAAAATAAAAAATACGTTCAAAACTAAACATATTACGTTTAATGAAAAATATATTATCACAAATATGAAACATAAAACGTAAAAAAAAGCTAAGAATGTTCACCAATCGAATCGCAAATACTTTAATGTCGTAATTTTATACAATAACCACCCCTTAAAATTAAAATTAAAAAAAAAACTAAAAACCTTTTTTTTATTAATATTTTGATGAAAATGATGTCTTCGAGGACTAAAGTGACGAAATAATTAACTTAGAGTTATAAGAGATTTAAAAAAATAATTGACTATTTTTAAAAAATATATTACCGTGCTTTATTATTTTATAAAATAATTTTTTATATATTATTTATACATTTGTATTATCGAAATGCATTTAAAATAACATAAAACGTTGTACATTGAGTTTAATTTTAAAAAGTTATGTTTTTTTTTTCAATTTCTTTTTTTTTTCCAAAGAAAAGAGAGTATAAATGCGATTGCTTTGCAACCCATTTATAGGTTTTTAAAAGAAAAATCTTTTTAGGGGATTAAGGTCAAGTGTAATACGTCAGAATGTACCAGAGGCTCAAATAACGCTCTCTCATAAACAAGCGAACGAACGCACTTTTTACGGCACTCACCGGCAGCATCGATGATTTTGCTGCCGAAAGTGATTGGTGCTGCCGAAAGTGATTGACCGAAAGTGATTGGTTAAAAACCATTTTTCTAAACTGTTTGTTATTAGTTTAATAGTAACACTTTTTTCTCGTGAGAAAATAGTGCTTTTTTAGGATCAGTGAAAAATTACGGCAAAATTGCAGAAATCACAAATTAATTTCACATTTATTATGAATCATAATAATTCACGAAAAAACTAAAAATATAGAACACTTACGCAATACAAATCCTCAAAGGTTTTGGGGTAATATTCGAAAAATCAAAAAAAATACTAACAATCGACTCTTTACAATTAATAAATTGCAGAACAAAAACGAAATCGTCGAAGAATTTAGTCATCATTTCCAAAAACTACTTAATACACCGCAATATACAAATAACGAGTTCAATCCTCTCCAAATTCCACATTTAAGTAAAGAGCCTAATTCAAAAGTTATCTCGACAGCTGATATTGAAAAATGTATTTTAAAGCTTAAAAATAATAAATCTTACGATTGCTATGAAATCAGTGCTGAACATCTTAAAAACTCTCACAACAAGAATCTTCTTATTTTACTTTCGTCGTTTTATAACAATATGTTAACAAATGGAAAGGTTCCACACGGTTTATCAACCGCCAAAATTATCCCATTAGTCAAGTCTTATAAAACATCACTAGAAAATCCAAATAACTATCGAGGAATCAGCATTATACCAATTTTTACAAAACTTCTCGAATATCTTATCATACACATATGTCCAGATATAACAGAAAGTCATTCCCATCAATTCGGTTTTAAAGAAAACAGCTCTACCCTCCACGCAGAATTTCTTCTGAGTGAAACAATAAAGCACTATAATCATAATAACTCACCGCTATATATATGCAGTCTAGACGCCAACAAAGCTTTTGACAGTTGTAATTGGGAATTACTATTCGAGAAACTCTATTACCAGAAAAAAATCCCATTATCTATAGTTCATACAATATTATCACTATATCAAACAGGAACTTCTAATATATCATATCTTGGATGTACATCAAACAAATTTAGGCTGTCTCAGGGAGTGCGTCAAGGATCCATACTGTCGCCTCATCTCTACAATATCTACACAGAGAACCTTCTAGAGAAAATTGTTTCAGAATCAAAAGTTGGAACTTCAATAAATGGTGTATACACAGGTATCATTGCATATGCTGATGATATAGTTTTACAAAGTTCCACTATATCTGGTCTTCAGAGCCTTATTAACATTGTTCAAAAGTATGGACTATCGAACTTTATTAAACTGAATACAGAAAAAACTGAATTTCTAATATCTGGAATAAGTTCGATTTTAATTAACGTTATTTATATTAACGGTGATCCTATCAAGCCTCAAAACAATCTAAAACATCTTGGTTTCCTTTGGGATAATAAGAACAAAAAAATGACAGCAACACTCCAAAAACAAAATATAACTGAACGGGTAACGCAATTTTTATCTGTTGCAAAAGGTCTTATAAGAAATGGACTTCGCTTTTGCCAGCCTGCTACCATAGTTCATTTATTTAATTCTTTAGCTGTTCCAACGTTGTTATACGGATTAGAACTGTGTGGAAGCAGCAATAAGTTTCTAAATAGCATTGATATAGCTGGACGATCTGTCTTAAAATCCTTCTTTAATATTTCAAAGCAAAGTAGAAATTATCTACATTCTTATTTCAAAGTAGACGCTGTGTCAGACATTCTTTTTCGCAACAAGTTAAATCTATTTATCAGGCTTTTAAACAACCCCATATGTTACTCGATTATACGGACTCAGATGCCTTTAATGAATCAACGATCATTTGTGGGTGAGGTAATGATAATGTGTAAGAAAGCTGATATAAACATGCTCCAATTTATGATCGAGGGTAAGAAAATTATAATTGCACGCCCTCAGGAAGCATTGGAGGCCAATGTTGCGGCGATCTTAAAACAATCGTTCCAACACTGGAATTTAAAGGAACAAAGAGAAGTATTTAGAACGCTGATGGAGGAAAACATTCCAAGAACGATGCAAGAAAATACTTAAATGTGCTTTGTTTTTTTTTAATACTTTTACCTATAGTTTATGTAATTATTGGGTGTTTAAAAGAATAAATATATAATCATGCCATAAATTGCATGACGTTATAACTTGATTATAGTTGTTAAGTTATGACGTCACGCAATTTGTGGCATGATATAAGCGTAGAGTAAATGCATGATTGATTTATTAATAAATTTTAATTAGAAAATACGTTATTGACTTTTAACTAGTGAATTGCTCCACTTAATACCGGCAAAATTCAAGCGACTTAATGAAATATCACGGAATTCCTGGTAAAGCACGGCATTTGGCGAAAATCGCGTGATTCAGGGCTGTGTGGAATTCACGGCACTCAGCTGCACCCGTGACTTTCGTACTATTGAAGTAGTAACATGAAGAGTACACGGAGTATACGGCAAAGTCACATTTAAAAAAGTTTTGAGAAAGCTATATTGATCATTTATAAAAGTCCTTAAATAAAACAAAGAAGTCTAAAAATTAGGAAAAAAAGCCATTTCTAATAAGTTTACATTTTTAATAAAACTTTTGAAATTTTTATTAAAATTTTTTTATACCTATCTTTATACAAAGACTTTTATAAATGATCGTTAAATGCTTTCTTAAAACTTTTTAAATGTGACTGTGCCGTTTTTTCCCGTATGCTCTTCGCATGTAATAACACAAGTAATAACCGTGTCAGATAGTTAGACCTACAAAAATCTTGACCGACTAAGTTGTTCTACAAAAAGAGCATCTACTAAAAAGTGGAACTAATTTTCAGATAACCTACTAAGGCCTAAATTGTTTTCAGCCGATTATAGTCTTTTATTTTCAACCGATTTTTGACGTTTTCGTTTTTGACCGATTTATTTTTCGACCTATTTTATAGATTTTCATTTACAACCAATTTGAGATAAATTAATTTTCAACCGATTATCTGGTCTGTGTTTTTAATGTTTTTTTTTTTTTTAAACTACGAATTTATTATTATTTTTTAATTAACAATCAATAAATTTTCCAAGCATTCATTGAACTTTATTCCTCAAGATTCTGAAGGCAGCGCTTTAACCACTGCGCCAAAGCTGATCAAACATGGGTCGTATTCAAATTAACAGCAAAATATATATAAAAAAAAAAAAAAAATACCGGAAAAACGTAGTTATTAAATTTAGTAGTTTGAAAATACAGTTGGTTGAATATTCAGTAGATTGAAAATTCAGTATGTCAAAAATAGACTTGGTCAAAACGTCTAATTCAAAGTAGAGCCGAGATTAGCCATTTCTTGGGACTGGGGCAAAATATAATCTTAAATATTGTGGGTTAATACCAGGAATGTCTCTAGCCCAAACACCTTCTTTAAAAAATTCGTTGTCAAATTAAGAGTAGTTTATTGCTTTTCATTATTAAAAAGGAACGTTCTCCTTCACACGAAGTAGTCAAGATGCTCAAACGAATTTGAAGTGCAATTCATACATTTGGGAAAGCAGCAGTAAAGTTTTTTGAAACGATATACTTCAACACTTGTCTCACTGATTGTGCTTGGTCTGATCCTATTTTAGCATTTCAAAAAGCGTGATAATCTCATCAGTGAAATCACCTTCCAAATCACAATGGTAGTGTTGTAGAAGATGAATTCATGAAACGAAAATATTTTATGCCTGACACATATTTGACTTCTGTCAGGTAATCAAATCTGACAATATCTAATATGCCTTCTTTTCATTTCCTGCAGGACCGTTCCGAGGGGTGGGGGTGGGTGTTGGAGCCTATCAATAATAACAAGAAAGGTTTGTATTTTAAATTGTTTTCTGAATGTCAAAACTGCAACTGTGTCTCTGACTTTACCTACATCAAAGAACCTTGCAAGCTTAATCATTCTAGTTTCTTTGTATTCACTTAAATTTTTTTGCTTGGCCTTTAAAACGATCAAAAGAATCATGTATGATTTGAAGAAAAATCATTGAGGAGCTTGAAAGTTTCTTTTTTAGATCCCCTCAATTTCTTTAGATGTTCCACTTTTCTTCTTCTTTTTTCTCTTTTTACATTCCCTGCTTCATAATGAATGTTGTAGCCATCTGCCGTGTTGTTTGCGAATTGAAAAACGCAAGATTTCGTCAATCTAAAAAATATAAATTTAAATAAATGAACAAAAAGAATGAATAGTTAAAAAATAAAAATTAAAACATAACGCTGAAAAGAGCAATATTTTTTATTTTCAGATATTTGCATATTTTTAACAAATTATAAGCCAAGGATCAATAAAAAAAACTGCTCTTTACTACATTAGTGAATGATGTGCTAACATCACTAATTTAGTAAAGAGCAGTTTTTTTTACTAATGTATTTTAACAACTAAAAATATAATGCTTTTAAAGAGATTTATTATTTAAATTAGCTTGTAATGTTATTTCATTAAAAAAAAAGAGCAGTTACACTGTAAAACACACTTAAACTGTAAAAAACACTGTAAAAAATCTTCTTAAAAAAACTTTTCGCTTTAACTTAACGGCGAAAAGCTTGTTTTTTTAAACGGGTGGTATCAAAAAAGAGTTAAGCTGTATTAGGTATTTCATTTTCATCTCTTTTAATTAAATTTTTTTTTTCATAGAGAT